TGTTTGGCGTCCCTCGTTTTTCTTTAGTCTTCATTTTCCTCTCCTCTCCGAACTTTGAAGAAGTTTATCCAACATTTTTAAGGAGGAAAGAATAATTAAAACCCCACGACTGTGGGCTTCCCACATGAAGCCACAGAGCCATGTTTTAGCCCCTTTTCAGAAGGCGAGAAGAGTGTGGGGGGGGCTGCTTTACTTTCAGGGGTCGAATATTCCATAGGGTGGGAGCAAGAGCAGAGAAGGCTGTCTTCCTAGACCCCACCAGTCTGTTCTGACCCAAACCCTTTTCCAATAAAACAAACACGAACCAAAGGAAACAAAAACCTTTTAATGATTATTACAAATCCCCTGCTGCAAACTAATTCATTTTGATAAGCACAAGCCTCACCAAAACTGCGCAAGGCTGCCAAGTATAACAGATAAGAAATATTTTACAACACAAGAGTCTTCAAATACCAACTTAAGATACTGCAATGTCCAGGAGGCTGAGTTTCAAAACATTTTTGCTTCCTGCAAAGAACGTCCGATTCACAGCTGGCTTTTATCTTCTTGAAGGAGGGGCCATTACCGTTCAGCCTTACTCCTGAGTCGCCCGTCCTGCTGCAGCTGCTCTTTCCTAAGAGCAACCCTATGCACATGCGTACTTGGCACAGGGTCCTTGGGAACCTTCTCATCACTGCTGCCAGCCCCCACAATCTCTGAAGGCAGCAGTCCACTCCCTAATGGTCCTGGTCCCTCATCTGAGTCCTTGCTCTCCTTAGCCATCTGCACCTGCAGCCGGCTAACCACAACACAGTCAGAATTTTTTAACTGATGGGATCGGTTAGGGTGCACAAATGTAGAAAAGAAGAGCAACCTTCTAACTTGATATATCCAACAAGCACTGGTACGGTCTTACCAAATTTAACAAGGACAACTGCATTGTAATCTACTTGTCATTGATATACAAGCCATTGTTGTTGTTGTTCAGTCCCTAAGTCATATCTGAATCTTCACAATCCCATGGATCATAGCATGCCAGACTCTCCTGTCCTCCGTGGTCTCCTGGAGTTTGCCCAAATTCACATTCATTGCATGGATGACACTATTTAACCATCTCATTCTCTGCTGTCCTCCTCCTCCTTTTGCCTTCCATCTTTCCCAACATCGAGGCCTTTTCCAAGGAGTCCGCTCTTCTCATTTGTTGGCCAAAGTGTTTGAGCTTCAGGATCTCTCCTTCCAAGAACAGGCAGGGTTGATTTTCTTTAGGATTGATTGGATCTTCTTGCAGTCCAAGCGACTCTTCAAGAGTCTTCTCCCTACAATCGAAAAGCAATACAAGCCATTGTGTACAAATATATCTGTGTCTACCAAACAGATTCAGGAAGGACCTATTCGTACTTCAGCTGTTAAGCCCCAATGAAGTCTAGCAAATGGAGAGTTAGTGCACGATTGCTGTTTTTCTAGGACATCCTTCCCATGATAAAAAACCTCATATTCTCCATTTAACTGCCAAAATTGGATTATAGATTTTGAGGCCGAATCCCTGAGGTAGCAGACTAAAAGCTGTGGACACCACTGTGAGGATAACATGTGATAGCTCCAGATTCACACAGAGCACAGCAGGGAGGTGAAACTGGAAGGCTAAAAGAAAAGCACAGAGCTAAATTATTGAGCCCCCCCCCCAGAATTATCTTTATATGAGCAAAGAAAAGAAAGTCACATAATGGGAGGTTTGGGAATATATATTTTTTAAAAAGGCAGGGCTGCAAGTGATCTGGGTCTTTCAGAATTATTTAATAGGGATGCAGACATTTAAAAAAAAAAAAGATGTATTTGTATTTTCCAGCAGCAGCTGTAGTTGTGTGTGGATGTGGTTTTTTTTTTTTTTTAATGCATGGTTGGGGAAAAACCATGTGCTCTTTCATAGGAAAGTTCTTAGTTTAATCTATGGGTCACTGGTTAAGCCGCCTGTGAAAGATTTTAGCTAGGAGATTAGAAGATTATGCTGTACGGGCTACACAGAGCTAGAATTAAAGTATGAAATTGTGTGTCTTGGGAAAAGGAAGAAGAGTGGGGTTTTGTTTTGTTTTGTTTTGTTTGAGTCTTTCAAAACATCCGGGCAGTGTCTTTCAAACTTGGCAACTTTAAAATGTGTGGACCTCAACTCCCTGAATTCTGGGAGTTGAGGTCCACATATCTTAAAGTTGTCAAGTTTGAAAGACACTGCATTAGGGCTATTGAATGAATGTAATTGAAGGAGAACAAACAAAAGAAAGCATTACTTTTGAAAGTCCTAGAATTCATTATCAAACGTAGTAATAATAGCCACTACATTGTGGGGACTTTAAAGGGAGATCAGATAAACTCGTGGTGGACAGGTGTGTCGAACAGCTATCAATCTTGAACATTTGATGTTGTTTCTGAGTTGGAGCAGCATGCTAGCAAGAACAATGCAGAAAACTATCAGAAAACCAATAGAAACACCAGTTTTATTACCCTATAAAGAACAGAAGAGAGCAAATCATGGTTGGCTTATCAGAGTCAAACATTTAGTGGTTTTTCTTCTATTTAAACATGATGGAATAATGGAGAAAACAGCAGGAATCCAAAGCATTGACATCAGAAAAATGAATTTATGGCCCCACTTACACAGTGGATTGAAGATGTGATGGTACTTGAAATTTATGAACAGTTTGTTTACAGACAGATTATAAATGGATAATTATAATGAAATATGCTTGAAATGTGTAAAACTAAACAGACAGACAGACACGGATAGATAAATATATATGGATAGACAGACAGACAGAAAGATGAGAGTGAGATGATTAGGTAGGTAGGTAGATAATTAGATGATAGATTAGATAGATTGATTGATTTATAGCTATATATTGATTATATTGCTTTTATCTATTTTGTTTACCTTTCTTTAAAATCTCTGTCTTGTTTTTTTTTAAATAAAGTCAAGAATGGAGTTGTATTTCAGGGGTATGTCCATAGCAATTTTTCTGCATTTTAGAACATTTCTTTGAGATATGTCTTAGATTTCTTCAAGGGATGCAAGCTTCTCAACCTGAAAAATTTTTGTTTTACATTTAAAATAGTTCCATTGTTTAAAATAAATAGTTCTATCCCCTTATTTAATCCCAATCTGAAAGCATCTAACAACCATAAAATATAAGTATACTTTGTAAAATTGATCCATAAATCTGATAGAAATCTTCATCTGTATGTATGAGGAATGGGTGACTTCTGTATCTTTCTAAATTAATAGTTTGAGTCGAACAGAATAACTGAGTTGGGAAAGACCTTAGAGGTCTTCTAGTCCAACCCCTACTCAAGCAGTGGACCCTATACCATTTCAAATAGTTGACTAATCTCTTCTTTAAAACCTCCAGTGATGGAGCACCTACAATTTCTGAAGGCAAGCAGGGCTTCTGATGAGGATTGCTTGGAACTGTGATTAGAAACATACGGAAGATTGCCAGTTGCTTACATCCACCATAGAATAGTAGGCATGTCAAATCTCTTCTTCACATTTGGCTATTCACCTCGCTGGCTTCAAGCTTGGGTCTACTGCACTATATTGTGTTGATATCTTCTATATATATAAAAGCAAAATACCATTCATGCATCATCACAAAATCTCCAGAACCGTTAAGCCTACAAACTTGAAATTTTGGCAGATATGTTCCTCTGGGCCTCTAGGTGCCCACTAAGAAAGGATTTTTTGAAATGACCATCAAAGCATTAGTATCTCCTATATTATTATTAACATGCTCTGATGCTAAGGAGTTCTACTCCCCCTCCCCACCTGAAAAGAAATCTGTTCCAAATGCAAAATACAAGCAGAGGAGAGGAGTTTCAGTTTCATTTTCAGAGCAGCAAGCAGCTTTAGTACAGAACAGTTGAGCTAAGCCACACCCAGGCTCCTTGCTGTCTCCTTACACAGCAAATACTGTTTCAGTTTCCATGTTTCAGTTTCCAAACAGCCTTCAACTCTCGTATACTGACAGGACGCTAGCCAGATGAATACCGATGGATGCTGGACAGAATCCCCCCCCCCTTATTTTCCTTCCCAAAAACTAAGCCCAACCACATAGTTTCGTAGCGAAGCACGGGTATCAAGCTAATTTAAGTATAGTTTAACTCACTACATGTGATTTTGCTGTTATGCCATAAGTGCAGTTATTTTCCTGCATACTAGGAAAAAGGAAGGAAGTCATTAAAATGTGTGCATCCGGCTGCAGCTGTCACCTTTCTCATTTCCTCTAAAGTGGGCATCCTGTGCAATGTGTGAGGTTTATTTTCTGACCTTCAAAGGCTCCTTGTGATTCAAATTCTACTCCGGCTATGGTTTTAGGAAATGTTGGAAGTTCAGAAACCCATAGAAAATGTTAAGAATAGAAATGGTGACCTTCTGGATCACACCTGTTCCATCTTTGTCTGAAATAGTACAGGGTTACCTGCCTAAGCAGGAATTGGGATTAAATAAGGAGAACTGCACACCAGAAGAACTAGACGGAAGGACAGTTTTTCCCCCCAACGCCATCACTCTGCTAAACAAATAATTCCCTCAACACTGTCCAACTATTTACAAAGTCTGCATTGCTATTACTATTAATCTTCTCATCACTCCTTATCACCCATCCCCTCCCACTTGTGAGTAACTTTGTCGCTTGTATCCTAATGATTTATATGGACTGTTTCCTAGTATGATTTGATTGCTTATTGTATCCTATGACTATTATTGTGTGGTACCTGATGATTCTTAACTCTTGACGAATGTATCTTTTATGTATACTGAGCACATTAGCACCAAGACAAATTCCTTGTGTGTCCCATCACACTTGGCCAATGAAGAATTCTGTCTGTCTGTCTGTCTGTCTGTCTCTGTCTGTCTGTCTGTCTGTCTATCTATCTATCTATCTATCTATCTATCTATCTATCTATCTATCTATCTAGTTCCCACAACTCTCCTGGTGTGAAGTGTGATTGTGGCCCCTGTTTTCTCTCGCCAGGTGGTTCCATTCCAGCTGCCATTGAAGAGATGCTCTGTAGTGGGCAATGGTGGGATTCTGAAAAACAGCCGCTGTGGCAAGCAGATAGATCAAGCGGACTTCGTCATGAGGTAAGCCGCCATTTTGGCTATGCTTCCCTCTCCTCACCTTCACCGTTTTTTCACAGTACAGGTAGTCCTCGGCTTACAACAGTTCACTTAGTGGCCATTCGAAGTTACAACGGCACTGAAAAAGGTGACTCGAGACCATTTCTCACAGTTATAGCCATTACAGCCTCCCCGTGGTCATGTGATTTACATTTGGAGGCTTGACAACTGACTCACATTTACGACGGTCGCAGTGTCCCAGGGGTTCATGGGATCTGCTTTTGCGACCTTCGGACAAGCAAAGTCAATGGGGACACCAGATTCACTTAACAACCATGCTTCTAGTTTAAGAACTTCAGTGATTCACTTAACAACTGTGGCAAGAAAGGTCATAAAATGTAGCAAACTCACTTAACAAATGTCTTGCTTGGCAACATAAATTTTGGGCCCAATTGTGGTCATAGGTCGAGGACTACAGCGCAGTAAAATTGTTCCACTTGATTATCTCCTTCTGTCATACAAATATCCCTTGACTTAAAACCACTATTGGAACCAGAATTTCTGTTGCTAAGCAAGCCGGTTGTTAAGTGAGCCGTGCCCAATTTTATTACCTTTTTGCCCCAGTTGTAAATGAATCACATGTCTTTAAGCAAATCTAGCTTCCTCCAGTGACTTTGCTTGTTATAAGTACGCTGAATGGCTCCCAGAGGCTGCAACCATTGTAAATATATGCCAGTTGCCATGGGGATGCTGGGATGGTCATAAGTGTGAGGAGTGGTTGCAAGTTACTGTTTTCTGTGCTGTTGTAACTTTGATTGGTTGCTGAAGCAAATGTAAGTTGAGGACTATATGTATTGCAATTGCAATTCAGTAGACTCCTTCAGGATGTGTTCTGAGGTCCATCCCAAGGCAGGATAGGCGTCCCATACTTCATATGGACTAGTAACTGAAATTTAGGAGTGTCCGATCTGTGCTGTTTTTCCACAAAGCTTTTGTTGTTTCTCCAGAGTGGTAGTTATATTAGAAATTTTGGCAATGAAGTCGTCAAATGTTTACAGTAGCAAACAGAGGCAATTCTTTCTATCTTCTCTTTATTTTCAGTCTAGGAGGCTGCTGTGAACATTTCACTTGCTAAGATCCAACGGATTTTGATTGCATTGCTTTTCCGGCCCACAATAATCCAATTATTGAGTTGGTTTCCAACAGAAAAAGGCCCTTTTATCTACTGCGATATGTTCTTCAAAGCAGTTGCAATTCCAGGACACACATATTTGACACCCACCATGGGATAATCATTACTTATTTTATGGATTGGATTTTATCTCCTTTTTAATGTCTTGAATGTATTTTTAATGTGCCCAGCCTGGAGAAGGGGAGGAGGAAGCCAACATAAAAACAAGCTCTTTTCAGAGCACATTAAAATAATTTTTAAAATGCACAACAAGCTACAGATTTGGGGGTGCTGTAGAGTTGTCACAAAAATGGTAATAACTCTAGTATAGTTAGTAATATAAATAGAGGGCAAACCCCACCCCTATTCTAGCCTGATGATGTTATCTAGTTTGGCACTGAAACATCTGTAAGTCGTCTCTTACTGACCACCTGTGTTCTGACCCACGCCTTTTCCCAACAAATCAAACACAATTCAAAGGGAACAGAAACCTTTTAATGCTGCTGCAAAATAATTAGCTGTGATAAGCACAAGCCTTGCCAAACTGTGCGAGACTGCCAAAAGATAACAGACAACAAAATAATTTGCAATACAAGAATCTTCAAATGCAAACTCAGGATACTGGAATGTCCATGAGGCTGGAGTTTCCAAACGACTTTGCCTTCTGCAAAGAACGTTCGTTTCACAGCTGGCTTTTATTTTCTTGAAGGAAGGGCTATTACCTTGCAGCCTTACTCCCGAGTTGCCCGTGCTGCTGCAGCTGCTCTTTCCTGAGAGCAATCCTGCGCACATGCGCACTTGGCACAGGCTCCTCGGGAACCTCCTCATCGCTTCTGCCAGCCCCCACAATCTCTGAAGGCAGCAGTCCACTCCCTAATGGTCCTGGCCCCTCATCTGAGTCCTTGCTCTCCTCAGCCATCCGCACCTGTTGCCGGCTGTTCAGTGACTGTTGAAGCTTTGACAGTGCTGGAAAAGTTGGTTTATGACTGGGTTTTTAAAAATGTGTAGCTATTGCAGTGTTCCCATGATAACACAATCACCCTTTTGGGTGTTTTGCAACTGGCACATGTTTATGATCTTCGTAGTGTCCTGCAATCATATAGGGTTACCATGTACGAGTTTCAATTACTGGTTTCGAACAAGCAGAATTCAATAGAGAAGCCAGCAAGTCATGGTCATGTGGTGTGGCTGATTCACTGAACAGCCACAGTGGAACCGATGTCACAAGTCCAGCACAGTCACATAGCATTTCACTGAATGGCCACTTGGCTCAGCCACGGAGTTGCCAGTCCCAGTTGTGGTAGCAAGTGTACTTGGCTCAATGGGAATAATCTTTTTCTTAATAGATTTTTGACTTGAACAAATACATGAATACTAATAAGGGAGAATATTTGTTGTTCAGGGTTGACATGAAAGGGTCCTTGGTTCTCTCTGATCTGGGTTGTTTTCTTGCAGATATTTCATTACCCAACTAGGTAACATCATCAGGGTTAGAATGGAGTTTGCTGTCAGTTTATATTCTAGTGGCTTCCCTGTCGATGTTGGTGGGGACGGTCTTAAGAGATTCTTCAATTGGGCTGTTTGCTGTCGGCTTCTTTGGCAGTTTCTTGATTGTTTTCTTGACTGTTGGTCTGATGTTAACCTTGGAGTTAATCTATGGTGGAGCTTTTCTTCCCTTTTGGACTGGATGATAGCAGGGGTGGGCTGCTGGGGGTTCGCAGGGATTCGGGAGAACCCCTAGCTAAAATTCTGTGCAGTTCGGAGAACTCCCAAATTCCAACCCTGGCTGGTCCCACCCACCCCTCCCAAGAGTCCCCACGTGGCCCATTTTGGATGCAGGTAAGTGCAGGGTGTGCATGGAAGCTCAAGGAAGGCAAAAAAACGGGCCACCTGGAAGTTCAAGAAGGCTAGAAATGGGCCCGTTTCCAGCTTCCAGAGAGCCTCCGGAGCCCGGGGAGGGCAAAAACGCCCCCCTCCCCAATGTGGCGCAGGAGGCCGACTAGGCCACACCCACCATCGCCACGCCCACTCAGCAACCAGGCAGAGAACCCTGTTGCTAAAATTTTTGAAGCCCACCCCTGGATTATCTCTTTTGCATAGTCTGAAGATGTTTCCTAGTTTGGGTAATGAAACATCTGCAAGAAAACATGGCAAGCTCACTCCTCAAATACGTGAATGAACATAAAAAGTATAATTTATTACAGTTTCGTTTTTCTTTTTTCTTCCCTTCAGATGTAACCTCCCTCCACTAAGCAATGCATACAGCAAAGACATAGGATCAAAAACTCAACTGGTAACAGCGAATCCCAGCATAATTAATAAAAGGTAAGGAGCCGATTGTCTGTTTCTTTTTCAATTCCTAGGCTGAGTACATAAGGGGAAAAAATGAGGCATGTTGTGGGGGAGGGTTTAAAAAAAGAAAGAAAGGAAAAGAGACATTTTAATGTCAGAATGTTGTGAGCAGAATTGTCTTTCTAGCAGTCTATGCACAATCAACAACAATCTTGTAGGGCAGGGGTCCCCAAACTTGGCAACTTTAAGACTTAAGAACTTCAACTCCCAGAATTCTCCAGCCAGCTGGCTGGGGAATTCTGGGAGTTGAAGTCCACAAGTCTTAAAGTTGCCAAGTTTGGAGACCTCCGTTGTAGGGTTAAGAAATGAAGAGACTCACCTGTCATCTCAAATGACTTGAAATTGGTTTGCATCAGCCTGTTTCAAAAAAAAGGGGTGAATACTGGAATATGATAGTCAGAACCAACTAGCTCAACTGTTCTGTACTAAAGCTGCTTGGTGCTTTGGAACTGAAACTCCTCTCCTCTGCTTGTGTTTTGCACTTGGAACAGATTTCTTTTCAGGTGGGGAGGGGGAGTAGAACTTCTTAGCATCAGAGCATGTTAATAATAATAATAATAATAATAATAATAATAATAATAATAATAATA